ATTTTATCCAGGCAGATAAGAAAGTATTAAATGCACTGTTTGCCTTGATGGACGCCTCCATTTCGTCAAGTTTCTGGTCAAGTCGATCAAGCTTCGCATTGACTTCGTTAAATCGTTGATTTATCAGCGACGTGATGACGTCCAAATCACTTGGCATGAAGAAGGTGAAGACAAAGCTGGCAATAGCGGAGGCAGCCTGGATAGCCTTAAGCGCACGCCCAACCATCTTACCAACTTTGAGTAGCTTCGTTTGTTTCTTGAGAAGTTCTGCACTCTTCAAGCTCTTTGAAGCCGCCATTGCTTCTTTGAGGGCCTTTTGCTCTCCCTTAATGTCGCCTGCGAGTTGGTCAAGTACAAACTGAGTCGTATCAAGTGCTGTAGATACTTTAGCCTGCTCACCAGGGTCTAATGCAGCAACTGTACAGTCAGGATAGAACAGCAACAACAGGAGCCAAAGTACACACCTCATGCTGAATAGCAAGCGACGATATCACTGAAAAGACATGATGAATTTCCTTCTAAGTACATAGTTAATTATTTCGTAGTTCTTAGATATATTTGCAAAAATAAAAACGAAATGACTTGAATACCTAAAGTTCTCAGTTTAAATGACTCCAAGAAAGAATAGATGAATTAGACAAATTTAGTTTGCTCAAAATAACCTGTAAAGCAATGTAATATAAAGCGTCTTTGATTATATCCATATAGAAAGGACGCTATAGAGAGAGGTGACTGGCTACTTTCAGGAAAAAAAAATTTTTTTTTAATTACAATATTTTAAAGTAAAAATTTTAAGGTAATTCCCTCGAAAGAAATTTTGCCAATAACTTTGTCCTGAAACTTTGCATCGACATTAATTATTTATGTTATGGACATTTAAAAACTGCAATAAAAAATGGGGTCACCATTGTCGTTTTTTCGCAAGATGCTCTCCAAATATGTCAATTTATGGGTTTTATAGTGAAATGTGGTAGAAACCGGAAGCTGTAATCAAGGACCTTTATTTACTTTCATATAAGAAAGCATACTTATGACTCGAAGTTTACTAGATAATCTATACTATTAAATCCATCAAATTAAAGTCATTGGATGACTATGATTCTTGAACTATTAGTGAAAAATTCAGGTATAAGCGCCTCTACGAACATCCAAAAATTGCACGTGTCTACTATTCCCATCAAAATATTTCAAAATCTATCCAATAAACTTTCCTTCATATTTTGATATATAAT